CTTGGTCACGCTTGATGGAGGATTAAAACAATGGTTATTTCAACAAATACCTAATTCGTTAATTTACAATATACCTATGAAATTTTTCAAATACACCATATACACCTGAGTTTAACAACAGTGTCACCAAATGGGCAAATTAGTAAAGGACATTAACTCGTTAGTCTATATTTCTTTTAATCAATAAAAAATTAAAGTAATTATTTAATTATAATTATAAAAAATAAACCCAACCACCCACAACTCCCCAGCCAGCCACCTTCCCTCACCCTAACCACCCCTCGCCGGCGCTCCGCCCTAAACCGAAGCGTCGACGCTACCTCAAAATCCCTTGCCTCGTCCACGCCCCTCCCTTTCCCCTAAACCATCCTTCCTTTACCCGAAAACCACCTCCCTCGAAAAACCCTCCATCACAACTCACCGGCGCCCAAACCCCCCTCTTCTGCACCGACAAACTTAATTCGCCACTCTCCCAGCCATTAACGCCCCCTTTCCCCTTGAACCAGCATGCTAAAACCTTTTTAAAACCAAAATCGAGACCTTAAAACCAAAATTAGGGTTTTTATTTTGGAGTTTTAGGGTTTCGGGGTGGTGATTTTCTGCAGTTGGCGGCGATGAAGTTGGGGAAAGGGCGGAGATGGTAGGGGGAGGGGTGAGTTGCGTTCTCCGGTACGGGGGAGGGGGTTTTGGAGCGCCGGCAGGTGGGGAGGGAGGTTTTTTCGAGGGAGGGAGGGGTTTTAGGTGTTGCGGGGATGTTGGTTTAGGCCGATTTCAAGGGGTTGGGTCGGGCTAACGCCGGCGCAGGGGTTCAGGTGGGATTTGCGCCGACATCGGTGTTGGCGTGGGGTTCATGGGAGCCGGCGGTGGCGGTGGTTGGGTTCAGGGGAGGTGGCGGTAGCTGGTTGGTTTTTTTTAAATATTATGATTTTATTAATAATTAATTAAATAAATTTAAAAAAAAATAATTAATCAAGAGATGTCACGTGGCACAATTAACCCTTAATGACTAACGGAATTGACGTCTGTTAATCATTTGGGTATATGGGGCATTTTTGTTAGACTCGGGGGTATATGGTGTATTTGAAAAGTTTGATGAGTATATTGTGAATAAGAAAATTACCCACCCGTGGAAATCAGAACGGAATCTTTGGCTGCCATGCATTCACATTAGAGTAATATTTTTGTCAATACTGCTTTCAATAATTGATCTAGTTCATAGTTCGCTTTGCTGCAAGTTGATGCTTGAGATTTGTCGTTAGCAAGATGTTGATCAAAGCACTTGACAGGAACATATGATCAACTCGAGTTTGAAAACATAAGTATATGATTTTGAAACGCTTAAGTTCTAGAAAGTAGATAATGTAATGACTCAAAGTGGACGAGTACATATTATAACCATCCAGAATCTTGTAGCTTCGAAACACTATTTCTTAGAAAACTAGGAAAGGCTACTTGTCTTGGTAGAATTCCGCAAGACCAGGAATGGATTGGAATCTTCACACAAAACTTGTAATAGACCGATATTCTGGTGCCTTGTATCCTGCTGCGATAATAACCACATAACGCAATGATCATTAGTCAGGGCATTCATCTTTCAACATGTAGGACGTAGGTATACAGCTCCAGTGTTGTGTATTAGTATTGTGTGCAGACACACATGAAGAGTATGAAGGGTAATGTCATGTTCATGTAGATTGAAGTATTATCCTCTATATAACTCATGACTTGTTCGGTCATTTTATAGGCAGTAATATTGTCAATATTGTCACAAGTTTATAAAGTAGGGTTTATATAAGAAGTATAATGTTGTAAGAAAATTATAATTCATGGTTTGTCTACCCTTTCCTTCACAAATTTTCATTAATATTACTAGAACTGCACTGCATAGGAGTTAATCAAAGGAATATTGTCTATATGCTAATTTAAAAGCTGCAAGCTTTGCGGCTCTGTTTGCTGACTGGCACCTTCACATACTTGGGAAGGTGCAAAGTTTGGCTGTATTTCAGCAGAAGTTTTGGCTTCATTAGATATGTGAAATAACAACAGCTTTGTAATTTTACCCTTTCAAATTCCTAACCAGTACTTCGCCAAATTTTTCCTCCATGATTGAAAATGTAATCGTCGAGATAAGTATGAAAATCTATGCAAGTATACAAACTAAATAACCAACATTAGCTATCCGATCAATTGTCCTCGAGAAAAATATGAAAATGGAAGATTGGCTAAATTGGCCAAGAACATGTACTTTTTTTTTTGTTTTTAATAGTAAGGACATGTACTTCATATGAGGTAAAACTTCTTTGAAGGCAAAGAAAAGGTAATATTGCAAATCTTAAAATAAACAGATGTGTGTATGTATGATCGATACATCAGATAAGATAATTTAAAGACAGAAACTGTAAATGTGCATGTACCCAGTGTATGCTATGAAGATACTGGCCTGAAGGCTGTTAACTAATAACTAATGATGCACTTCACACTAGAAAAAGAAATTGACAGCTTCACAATATATTTTCTTTTTTTAAAAAATTAAAAATAAAAAATCTAAACCCAATTCAATGAAGCAACTAATCAGAAACAGTGATTGGTTGCTTATCCATTTGCTGTTGTATGATATAGTGTGTCCATATTAATGTAAAGTTCACAGTTGCTCCACAACACATTCTAGCAACATCTGTTTCTGATTATTAACAAGTGCCTTCTTTCAAGTGCTTGCTTAATCTACTGGAATCTCTACATCCATCTTCATGTCCGAATTTGCAAAAATCTGAGTATGAACTGTGCAAAGAGGTTTAAGAGGCACAATCACACAAAATTCAATAGCAAATAGGTGCTCGTGAAATAACTGAAGACGTCTATATGATGCAAAGAAACACGAGCTCCAGAAATCTATACTAATGTTTTTACAAATATACTCACCTAAATAAGCATGGAATAACTCAAAAATATATTATAAAGTTGCATCAAAAGCTGCTCACAAGTGACAACAAATCCAAAAACTTCCAAGTCATCAGCACAAACATTTATATTAATACTACATATAAACAGTAACATTCAAATTCCAATTATTCTACATTTCCTTCCAAGCAATCAATTTGTAGCTCCCACCTATTTGCATTTCACATGAGTAAACACGGGCATATACTATTACAGGGAAATACATCAACTTTGCATTGCTCGGTGTTTGGAATGTTCAGCACTATCCAAGACAAACACTAGGTGTCGGAGAGGAAGTTGTACTTCCCAGAACTTCCCAACTCAAGAAAACAGAGGATGCATATTTAGAATGCTTTTTGTCAAGTTTCAGAGTTCATATTCAGCAGTTATCAGTAGAACTTATCATGGACAGAAAAGGATCAAACATAAACTTCATTTGTAAACTCTTGAAAAGATTATCCAATACAAAATATCTTTGAAAAGAAGCTTCCTACTTTTAGAGGTTAAAGCTGCCCTAAAAGAATTGATGCCTACAATGTCAAGGATGATAGACAGGTTACATAGCACAAACTGAAAACAGCATGGGGCTAACCTAAATAACAAAGGTAGGCCTATACATTAAGAGAAGACTAATTTTTATAGTTTAATCAGCACAAAATTCCTTAAATAACAAGCCATCAAACAGTTTTGTATGGTTTCTCTTTTTTTCTGTTTTTTTTTTACAATATAAAACAGAAGATCATGGAGGCTGTCATGCATAACTCTAGATGTTGCCATATACCAACAATTTAAAAAATGATTATCTGATCAGCAACTCCTAAAATTTCTTATCACCTTGAAGCACATTGGAAATAAGACATCAATTCACGAGTTATTATGATATGATGTGGAATTGAGGATACATGAAATATAATATAGAGGCAACTTTGAGATGAGAAACAACAATAAAGCTGAACTAACTTGTTATTCACGTGTTACAAAAACCATCGCAGTTTTTGAAAGAATAACACACTTTTCATGTTTGAGTCCTGTTACACACATACACAAAAAAAAAAAAAAAAAAAAAACCCATGTATATTCAATACTTTACGAAAATTTGAAAACTGCAATACGTAACAACAGCATATTGTGGTTTAATAAATATTTACATCTATAGAAATTTGACTGTACACAGTACATTATGAATACATCAGATGGACATAAATTCTGGCACAAAAGGCCATACACACACAACTCAATTCTGGCACAAAAGGCCATACACAAACAGCTCATTTAACATTGACAATGTCAAAGATGGCACCAAGTAATGCCTAAGTAAAAAATGAGGCTAACAATAGGCAGAAGTAATGCCGGTATGGCCATATCAATCAAATGAAGCAGAAACTGCTCTAATTTCTCTTTAGTCGCATATTAGGCAAGAGATGAGGATTAACGCCCATGCTAAAATTAAAGAACCACCCCCCTCCCCAAATTGCCCTTTTTCCTAATTTCATTGTTGTGATGGATCATGAAGCAGAGCTATTATTGGTATTTGGCACCTTGAAATTTAAGAGTTGAAGGGAAAACTTTTAGGTGCAGAGAAAGGGCAAAAATTAATGCTGAAAGGATTATTGCGCCTAAATTTTGGGGCCACAAACTGGACAAAACCAAGCAAAATATAACATTTTAGAAAGCAGGTTTTGTACATAATGACTTCTGAAGTCATTAAATTCTCATGGATGATCCAAAAAGATGGAAAAGCAACAACAATGCTAATATAATATTTTGTCTGGATGTCCTTGTTTAATTAAATCAAAAGCGTTACTATTGAGCAATCTATCAACTAAATCAAATGACGTAATATAAACATGTTCTACTTTTATTTGTTGCAAAGCAATAAAAAACCTATTCTTTACCCATCTCATATAAACTCCTTCCACCATTACAGACATAAGGCAACATTATGAATTCTTTATTTACAAGATAATATTTTTCCTATATTCTGGTATACTTAGTTCTTGCTTGACATCTTATCACTATATTGAGACTTGAGAGAAGGGGAGGAAGGGGAGTTGTTACCCAGCTCAACCAATGTCATTCATCATTTGCTTTTTAAATGTTTCTGTTGAACTAGAATGGTCATCGTGCAATGGAAAAGTAACTGGTAAAGAATAAAACAGAAAAAAAAGTTCTGTTAAATTAAGCCAACTATCTTTAGTAGTTTTCACCATTGGAAATTTTATACAGGTCATGTCATTTGTATCAAACCACATGAACTATGTATAAAAAGCAAAGAATGAATGTAGTTGTAAAACTGCCCATACCTCTCTTTGCTCAGCAGTCATGAATGAACCAGTCATATCACTAAGCACTTCTATAACGTCATTGAAAGTCACCTTCCCATTGCCATTCGAGTCATAAACCCTGAAAATAACTGCAAAAGAGACAAGAGAATTTGTTTACTATAGCTACTCACTGAAATTTGGAGCTTACACAGGTGTCATTTAACAAATTGTTATGTTGAAAGGGGCATTAATACAAGTACCACATAAGAGTTAATAATCATTCCTTTAAAGGATTTAAAGGAGAAGAGGGAGAGAGAATCTACAAAATAATCACACATTAAGATAAGGTGATAGTCACTGATTAACTCAATGACTGATAATCTAACCAGATTCTCAAATACTTAACTACACATCTATAAACAAAAAGGATTTATCTTTCTTTTTACTAATTTTCTTTTACTTCCTCAGTACATTTTAATTGCATCATTTGGGGTCTACAACAACTTATTTCAAAATTTGAGGTCTACTAACGTGCCACAAATTCTTGGCCTCACAAAGGCAAAGTAAATAGAAGCTGGTTCCAGGAAGAAATAATGTTAATTGAGTCTTTGGCTCTTAGCTCTTAAAGATTTATTGTCTAAAAATTTATACAAAGGGTGCCAGATTGTCACCTCAGCCATGGGTGGAAGCCATGGTATTCACTTGGTGTCATTCTAATTATGTATAATATCTTAACGATGAAAATCACTAGTCAACTTACAAAACCCCTATGATATGTTGGCCCCGCAAAGTAAAATCCTTCTTCTCAAAAAACAATATTTCAATCCATATGCAATCCTAAAGTAAACAAAAACAGGAAGGATACAATCATACAGCCCATCAGGTTTTTAAAATTAACTCAAAAAAACAGGATAGGCTGTTCTGCTAGCCATAATGTTGACCGGACCTTATTCCATTTACAAAGACTGAGATATTACTCAAGCAGCAGAACAATCACAATTATGAGGTTAGTTGCACTCTTTCCTTGAAGATGAAGACAACAACTAATTGAGATAACCATTAGCAATCCCCGATAAACATAAATCTATCAGATCAAAATCGAAAACTTACGGGAAGCTTTTGGCTCAATGCTTGCTTTGGCACTAAATGCAGATAAGAATGCAACAAAATCCTTAAAATTTAAACCATCAACCATCTTCAGCAACTTCTACATAAAGACACACCACGAATTCATAACATCAATTCCGCGAAAAAATCCTAATCAACAGTTAATTCATCACAGGCAACACGAGTATGATCTCAAAATCTACACACTCTATACCTCAGCGAAAGGGTTCATTGCAAACTCCGGCACAGACATAAATTCATCGGATGAAATAAAACCTTTGGCAGTCCGATCAAGTTGACAAAATCTTTGATACAAAGAAACTCTCTCTTGCTTATTGACTATATTAAAACAATAGCATATATCATATTTCATTGAATCATGACAAAATTTAGCATTTTACAAAATATAAGAGAAAATCAAAATAAACCCCATACACAATTCCTAGAATGCGCGATACGACGTCTGTACCTGCAAAATCACGGAGACTTCGGCTGGGGGGTGGAGTTCCGCCTCCGAAGATCAAGTTAGAATACGTCTAAGGTAAAAGAACGGAATAGTAAATACTTCTCGCTGATTTGGAGAATTCTGCAATTAAATATTGCTCGGGATTTGTGTTTTTAATTTGTTGATCCGTAATAAATGAGATTTGCCCCACTATTTATAGTGGGGAAGACGAATTCCCCAATTAGGGTTCAAAGGACACGTGTCACCAAGGGGTTGGGCCTTGGCTGACCATTGAACACTTGAATCATGTCAAGTGCTTATTAGGCCACGTGTCTAGGGTAAATTTTTACCCTAAACATCTGCCCCTCATAGGTTGACGTGGCCTTGTCACGTGTCACCTGTGACAGGTGTCAGACGGCTGGGAAGTGACGGTTTGTCTATTTCTCGTCTTCTTCTTCTTTTTTTTTTGAATTTGAATTTGAAGGCAGAAGGTGTCGATTCACCTTCTGCTAGCTTCCTATAAATAAGGAATGAGCCTCCTCCCCTCCATACTTTACATAAATTTTCAAAAAATTTCTTGAGAGCTCTGACACCGTCTGCTTTTTACTTCCCAAAATTTCTCTGCATCCGGCTTTAGAAACTCACTAGCATCCAGCTATCGGCTGAGTACCTTCTTCAATCGTTTTCCAAAGGTACCGACTGATCTCTTATTTTCTTTATGTTTTAAGGACCACAACCGGCAAAACACCGCCTAGGAACTTTTAGGACATGTTTTTCAAATGTAAACCCAACCGGTAGAAAACCGGTTGAGACCTCTTCAACTAATTTCTCCAAAATAGCATTATATAACCTCACCCGGAGAAGATCTGTCTGAGTAACCTTTCAATTTTTCTTGCTCTTTACTATACCCCCATCCGGTGATTCACCTCCTGGGTTGCTTTAGGACAATTTTTTTAGGACTTCTCTCATAGACCCACAGACGGTTACATTCCGCTTGTGAAATCTTTAAATTTTTCACAAAAATCTACAATTTATCCCCAGCCGGTAGTACACCACCTGGGGATCTTTCAAATCCATACTGCTTTCATGAGACTTTCATCCGGTGAAAGCACCGGATGGGGTGCTTTTGAACGCTTTCCATGGATACCGCCTGGGGTATCTTTGGATAACTTTGCCAATTTATTTTAAACTTCTTTAAAAGGTCACAGGCGGATACTTATGTCTGTGGTATCTTGGATCAATTCAAAAAATTTGCTTTGCAACTTTCTAAGCAGCCACAGGCGGACACTTCCGTCTGTGGTATGTTTGAGTGATCTAAGCAAAATTGCTTTGCTTTTTTCTAAAAAGGCCACACGCGGTTATTTCCGGCTGTGGTATCTTGAAGTGACTTTTCAGAATAAAGGCTGATCATTTTTCTTGTTTTCTCAGGTTTAAATACATCCGGATTCCACCGTTTGAGGCATCTCCAAGCCACTCTTCAAAGTTACGGTTGCCTTCAACATCTCAAATTTTTAAGGTACAACTTGCATTCTTTGCTGTTCTTCTTTTAGCATCTCAATTCCTGGTTGTGCAGTTTTGTTATAGAGTAAATGGTGTCTTTCAAAACACACACGGCACAGCCTACGACAGTGGTCATTCGGTCACCTGAGACGGCTGAGTCTAAGAATGGGGATGTCGTCTGGGGGTGTTTGGGCCACCCTTCATCTACCTCGAATCCGACCGTCTCTGTACTTGTGTAGGACAAAATGGCTCGGATCAGACAGATGGCAAGAGATCCCGATTACAGGTCTGATGACGCAGCCGTCGACCCGGCTGAACCCATAATTGAAAACCAAACTGAAGAGTCGTTTGACCAAGTGCCTGATGATGCGCTTGGTACTCCCAACACTCCGCATGACAACATTTTAAACGAATCCAGCTCTGCAAATTAAGAATCTGGCGGAGAGTCGTGCTCTGAAGAATCTTCAGAGGAAGCTGCCCTGGTTAATGAGGAGGCCTATAAGTGGCCGCCTGTGGTAAATCCCTTAGATGCAAGCATGACCGCCAGAGATATGGTCACTCTAAACGCCACCATTGAACATGCAGACGAGTATTTCGGCTGCTATGAGGCGGCATTCAAAGCCGGCCTCCGGTTCCCCCTCCACCATTGCATAAAGGCCATACTAAGGGGGTATGACCCGGGTGTTTGGAAGTTGACCCCCCATCTCATGGGTCAACATTCTTGGATATATTTCCGCATGCGAGATGTAGGAGGTAAAGCCCAGCTGGGAAGCTTTCGCACACACACACTACCTTAGCCGTGCGCCGGGTGGGTGGAATGCTTGGTACACTCTTACCACGCACCCGGAATATATGATGACCTTGGACAAGCCGTCCAAGTGGAGCAGTTCGAAAAGCAAGTTTTACGCTGTTTCTTCTCCAACTCCCCAACTAAATCGCCGGCTGCGAAGATACAACAAGCATGCGACTTTGCTTGGAAAGAAATGTGCTCTTCCTAGAGCGCTGGGTGAGGCCTGTGACCAAATCATGGAGAGGGGTCTTTTTGAAAAGACATCCCTCCGCCTGGATGAAGGGAGTGCGATCATCGTCCCAAAGTTCTGGGTGCCCCACCCGGACTGGTTCAAGGATGAGGCTTTTCTCTCTGCTTGTAACCTAAGCATTATGTTCAAACAGAGTAGGTTATTCTAAAACAACCGGCATCTGCCGCCTGTAATGGAAAACTTGAATCTAACTTTTCTTTTGTTTTTGTAGAAGCTTCCAAGGACATGTTGCCAAAGGAGAAAACACCAGCTACCACAGCTGCCCAGCTTAAAAAGGAGCAAATAGAAAAGAAAAAGTCGCAGCTGGCGGCTAAAGGAAGGGGGGTATCATTTGATTTTATTTCTATCTATTTAGCCGACTGTAGGTTTTGTATAAGTGTATTACTTAACCGGTTGTGTTTTACATATTTTCAGGCCGGGAACAAGACTGTTCCTCTCTCCTTATCAATAACGGTCAAGAGACCGGCTAGGGAGATGCCAAAGTTCCAAAAATGTCGGTTCCTGCGCTGGAAAAAGCCTTCGTGGAATAGTCCCCACCATTGACGTGGTGGTGGAGGATATTAAGGAGCTGGAGACTCCGGCTGGCCAGACCCATACGGGTACTGGTTCCAATGCGGATGGGGGTGATCTTACCCCACAGTCCGTTAAAGGTATGACTTTTGCCTTTGATCCCCCCTGGCCGCTTGGGCCTATGCGAGTCCAGACCCAAGCTTGCCAATCCGGGGATTCTTCTGTCAGCCGTTAGAATATTGGAGCAGCGTATGCCCAACACCTGACAGATAAATCTATCATTGCAGATGCCTCCTCCAGCCGGCCGAACTACCAATAATATGCCAAGAGGATGATCCGGGCCCTTACCTGGACCGAAAAAGAGGCAGTGCCGGATGTGCATTCAGCTAACATTGACCGGATCACTTCTCTCCTTGCTGAGGTAATTTTGACCAGTTGCATCATCTGCTTGTAATTTCTTTGATTGCCGCTTTAGTTTTTATTTTTATAAAATAATTCTAACATTCATTCACCGGCTGATGTCACAGGTGTTGCTGAGAGTTGATGGGCTTCAAATCCCCTTGCGCAAGAAGCAAGTGGAGGTAGAGGATGCCCAGAGACGGGCATCTGAGCTCATTGATGTTTCCTAATACAATGCAATTAGATATGAACTGGAAACTAAAAGGCGGGAGTTGAAACAAGAGGAGCTTCTGAAAGAGACTATTGCTGCTGCTGAGGCGGCCAAAGCTAGGGCGGATGAGCTTGATCTGCAAGTCAAAAACCTCCAAGCCGATCTCAAGGCTTTGGAGGGGGCTGACAAGGAAAACACCGACCTCCGCACCGAGAACAACCGGCTCAAAAATGAACTGGCTCTAAGTCATGCGGCTCACAAAAAAGAGCTTGAAAAAGAACAACGCCACCTGATAGCTAAGAACGAGACGGACTGCGAGGAGCGCATCAAGCTCGCCTGGGGGCTCATACACCCGGACTATGACTATGAGTTCTTTGACCTTAGGTAGAAGTATGCCTCAGAGGTATACGATGCCAAGGTGCTTGGCTTGGACCCGCCTGCTCCTTTCGAAGAGTGGGCCGGACTGGCTGAAAAAGAGCATATAGAGGGTGAGCAGCAGGCGGAGAATCAAGAGCCGGCTCATGAGCAGCAGCCGGAGCAGCAAGCGCAGCAATAGACTTCCTTTTTTTTATCATCTTTAACTAGCCTGCGAGCCGCGTGTTTCTTTGTACTTTCCCCGGACAAGGGTCCGGCTGACATTTATTAATTTTTAATATATATATTTACCGACATAGTCGGTTTGCTTTCATCCTATCTTTACAATCTTTAATTTGCATTTGTTTTTACAAGTACTATATATGCTTTTCTCAATTTATCCGGATGCTACAATTGTAGATGCCCCTGAACGGTTGTTAATTTATGGCTAACTTAAAATCAGCAGCCGTTCATGAGAAGCTCCGGTTGAGGGTCCACCATTGGTCCATCTATTTGGATGGATATAGGTGTACCATGATTAGATTTAGACATTCCACCTGTACTTTCTTTCAAGGTTTACAAAAAGACCGTCTGTGCTACTTTTAGAATTGGCCGCACCCAATTTGCCGTCTCTACTGCATTGTAGTAAAGCCCGGCTGCATTTTGGGTGTAGTGATTAGTAAAACAGCTATAACTGTAACCGGTTAGGGCCGCCTGTGTTTGTTTAAATTTTGCACAGGGCTAATTTTACTTATACAGTTTTTAGACCCGAGGACTTTTAACCGTCTATGGTGCTTTTGCGCAAAGGTCGGTTATGTTGTCACCATGATTTGAAAAATGCCATTTGTAAAACTTAAAAGTAAATACCGGTTGTATCTTGGGTTCGAAGGATCATTCCAATGGCCATTTATTTT